CGTGGAGGAAGTGCCGCTTGAAAACTAACCAGCTCTCTTGGGCCCCCCTTCCTTCTAGAGCACTAGCCCATGGGATTCTACCGAGGAGGTCTCTGAAGAGGCTAAAGTTGGCCCTCCTGAAGTCCATCGTCGCAAGGCTACTTACAGCCCTGCCACCTCCTCGTTGGATCCTGAACTCCACCAAATCATGGTCCCTGCAGCTGAGGCTACCCCCCACCTTAACGTCTCCTACTAGGCCCTCCCTATTTGATAGCACGAGGTCCAGTAGCCCACCTCTCCTCGTCGGCTTCTCCACAACCTGCGTCAAAAAGTTATCATCAACGCACTGCAGGGACCTCCAGAACTGTTTGTGCCTGGCTGTGTTGTCCTCCCAGTTGATGTCGGGGTAGTTGAAGCCCACCATGAGAACCAGGGCCTGTGACCGTGAGGCAACATCCAGCTGGCTATAGAAGGCCTCATCAACCTCCTCGTCTTGGTCAGGTGGCCTGTAGCAGACACCCACCACAGTGTCTCCCACATTAGCCTGCCCTCTAATCCTTACCCACAAGCTCTCGACTCGCTCATCCTCCACTCGCAGGTGGAGCTCCATGCATTCCAGTTGCTCTCTCACATAAAGAGCAGCTCCACCACCTCGCCTTCCCAGCCTGTCCTTCCCGAAGAGCCCATAGCCTTCCATGACAGTGCTCCAGTCGTGTGAGCTATCCTACCACATCTCTGTGATTCCAATGAGATCATGATGCTGCGACCGCACACAGATGAAGGAGAAGAACTTTTCTGGGTCTAGAATGGGAAGTAGCAATAATATGTCCCACTCCAATGTGTGTCCTCTCTACCTCATGTAGCCTAGTGCATGCCATGCCCTGCGCTTTCTTGTTCTCCTGCCCAAACCAAACATGTTTACCTGGTTATAGAGAGCACAGATATGCAGAGCAGTGTTTCCTGAGGCGTTCTGTGCAGTCATATCAGCTCCATAGAAGAGAAGATGCTCCAGGTGCTGCACATGGCCATAGCGACATGCCTGTCAGAGCACAAAAAGAGAAAATAGAAACAGAAAAATGGAAAGGAACAGGAAGATCATGAAGCAACAGAGCTCAGTTACCCCTGCACCATCCTCCTGCCTGCTGGGCTCACCCACGAGGAGGGTCATGTGAGGGGCACCCTGAGGAGTGCCATTAACACATGTGCCCACACGCGTAGCTGCTCCTTACAGGGACACATGTGAGTGCATCTCGGATAAATCACTTCTATCAAAAAGTCATAGTCTGGGAAGCATCCTGGGCACAACTGAATAAAAACGTTGACTGTTAGGTCTGAGATGGGAGTTAGAGATGGAACCTCACGTGAAAAACCCTTGAAAAACCTGTTGCATCCACACTGATAGAGCAGTGCATGTTACCCCTAACAAAGACGTGGGGGGACAAGCCCCACCCCCTCCACTGACAGCATCAGAGCTTGGTCCCAACAAGCCGAGCGGGTGCTGCTCCCGCGGCACATCCCCGCGGCGTTCCCCGCCTCACCTGGTGGATCTCCTGCCAGCCGTTCTCGTCCACGCAGCCCAGCCTGGCATAGTCGTGCAGCAGGAGCTCGCAGCAGTAGGGATCCCCCCCCACCATGGCGCTGTGGTACAGCGGCGTGAGGCCCCGGCTGTCCTTGTAGTCCGGGGATGCCCCCAGGTCCAGCAGCGTCTGCAAGGGAAGCAGAGCCTCAGCTGCACGGCCAAGAGGGACCGAGCAGCGGGAGACCCGCAGAGAGCACAGAGATGCTCCTTGTGCCCCCTCGCGCGCCAAGCCCCGCCGTCACCACGCGGTTTCCCAACGAGTGGTCCTCGCCATGAAGCATCATGAGGAGCAATGGCGGGAGGTCGGTGCCACGCAGGTACAGGCAGGCGGGATGCGCGGGGACGCCGGGTCGGGAGGGAGCCCCTTTCCCCAGCAGAGCACTCACCAGCAGCGCAGTGTGGTTGCGGCCCCGGACGGCCTTGTGGAGCGCGGTCATGCCCTCCCGCGTGCGGAAGTCCAGGTGGGCACCGCCATTGCGCAGCACCTTGATCATCTCAGCGCCCTGCTCTAGCTGTGCCGCCGCCGTCAGGGGACACTCTGCAGTGGGAACAGAGCGGGATGGGACATGCGGCCAGGGCTCCCGTCCCCCTCAGGCGGTGGCACCAACTGCCCAGGGCACTCTCGGCCCGGCACTCTCGGCCCAGCAGCTCTCTCCGTATCCCCCATATGCAGCAAGTCTGCGACCGCCCCACCAAGCAAGACCTCCTGCACAAGGACAGCCTCAGACAGCTTGCCCAGCAGGCCAGGCTGCCGTCCCTCTCACCAGGACTCAACCCCGGCTGCCAGGATAGCACCATGGGTTGGGATAGCCCCCATGGAAGGATATAACTGAGCAGCAATCCTCACCAAGAGCCTCCTCCACCTCTCCACCCTATCCGTGTCCATCAAGGGTCCTCCTCCACCCTCCATCTCATGAGTGCCCACCAAGAATGCTCCTCCACCTCTCCACCCCATAGGTGGCCATCAAGAGTCCTCCTCCACCTCTTCGCCCCATAGGTGGCTGTGCACGACAGGGTTTTGCAGACAGAAGCAGGAGTCCCATGCTCAGCTCTTGCTCTCTGATGGTACGTGAAGCTCAGAAAAACCAGGGAGGGCCCTCAGTGCCAAGTGGTCAAGGACAACTGCACCAGGAGCCACCTCAGCTCTTTCAAATACGTAACCTTTCCAATGTGCATCTGCTGGCCAAGTTCAAACCTCATGAGTCTGCCAGTTCTACATACGGGCTGCCCTTCTCCATTGGGAGTTGAACAGATGCAACTGCCCCTGCGGCTCCCCTACCTTGTCCTAGTGTGGATGGGCATGGGACAGTCCTCCTCGGGTGGAGGCTGGCAGTGCTGACATCGAGGGATGGTGACTCCCATCCCACCCTGCTGTTTTTTGAGGGTTTTCGTACAGAAAGGCCATGGTCTCCCTGTTCATGGGCTGATCTTGATACTCTTCATAGCGCCCAGAAAGAAGAAAAATGTTCTTTGGTATAGAATGAGAAAAGTTTCCTTGGGAGTCAGCATGTTTTTTCTGAAAATGTTGATATAATTTAAAAATATATTTTCTTCAGTGTGCAATGTTATGAAAAAAAGATAAGCGTAGCTTCTTTTTTCAGTGTTTGACAAGTCTTTAGGTCTTTCTGTCCAAATCCTTCATACCATACATAAAGCAATGTAGACACTAGCTAAAAGAAGATTTCATCAGAGAGAAATATAGCTATGTATTTTTTAGAAAGGTAGCTAATTTGCACATAAATTAACATCTCCTGATTTAGTAGAAATAACTATTGAAGTGAGAAAATAAAATGGTTTGAGATATAAATAAAAACCATATTAATTTAAGAGGATTACCATTAACCATAATTTTAAATGAAATAGGTAGAGGCCAGACGGGTGCTGTGGCTTTGTTAAAACTCTGGGTTTTGTGTTACAAGACCCTGACATTAAAAATGAAAATTACTGAAGACTACATTCAAAAGACCCAAAGATCAGTTCATCAAAAAGAGAAATCATCAGTAAAGGAGGATGTTCACAGCTCAGTCTTATAAGGACCTTTCCTCAGCTCAAAACTGTCACTCATTCTTAACAATAATGTGGATGAAAACATAAAGTAATTTCTGAGAAAGTTCACACACACACAAATGTATATTTATGGTCTTCCACCATCACTGGAACACCATGGCTTATTCTGTGCTAACTCCTATTGCTTACATTCCCATTGCCACTCCTCCAACTTTCCGTGACTGTTTTTCACCATAATAATTTATATAAAATCTCTTCCTCCTTTATGGTAATTTTAAATTATTTTGAGATAATTTGGCCCTGGCAATATTATAAGGATGCATAGGCTCCCCCAGACTTCAGACTGAGGCACAGAAAATGAAGTCTCCTCATCAGAAGTGTTTTTCTATAACCCAGTTTCAATGACCCAAGCTTCTCAAAGGGGCAAAAGATAGAGAAAACAAGACTCCAAGTGGACTTCTATGCCAAGTTCTACAAAAAAATCTATCAAATTATCTTGAACTCTGAAGACTGAGAAAGGTCACAGAATCCCAGAGTGGTTAAGGTTGGAAGGGACCTCTAGAGATCACCTAGTCCAACCCCCCTAGCAGGGTCACCCAGAGCACGTGGCACAGGGTGTCATCCAAGCGGGTTTGAAGATCTCCAGAGGAGACTCCACAACCTCCCTGGGCAGCCTGTTCCAGTGCTCTGGCACCCTAAGAAGTAAAGAAGTTCCTCCTCATATGGAAATTAAACTTCCTATGTTTCAATTTTTCCAAATGGAGCATTTCGAGATGCACTGAATGAACTGCAGTTGGTAATTCCTTCATGGTTTAACAGACCACAGACATCTCTAATACCTAGGATTTCAGTGATTACACTCTGCTGATTAAACATATATTTGGATATATATAGCTGAAAGTAATTAACTAGTAAGTAAAGATCCACAAAAGAAAATGAAAGCTACCCGGTGATGCACTGTATTTTGCAGAGCATAAGAAGCCAGTTAATGCTCACAGGAAGGGCTGTAGCTGGGACTGGTGGGCTGTGTTACACCCTGTGAAAAGCACCCGCGTGACAAACTCAACACCTCTCCAGTGCTGTGGCTGCTCAGATGCGCCTGCTCCTTGGAAGGGGAGAAACAAAATCCCACAGCCAAAATTCACCATGGCGAATTGTGACCAGCAGATGAGAGCTGCTCCCTGGAGCAGTGATGGTGTCTGGAGGACCAAAAGGCCATGAAAGGGCAGGCGACACCGTCCGGGCCTGAAGAGCTCCCGGTGGAACTTGTTCTTTAGTCATGGGCTGAAAGGAAGGAGAGCTGAGGACTGCAGCGGCTGCTCGAGGATTTCTGTGTGCTCATGGCACCTTGCAATGCCCAAGTCTAACAGGTTCCCAAGAACCGGGCGGAATGTGGGGGCCGGATGCTGCTGAACTGGCACTGAGCTGCGGCAGCTAGGACAGGGATTGAATAAAATGCCCAAAGAGCTTGCAGATGTTTATTACTATATTCAAAATAGTGTTTTATCTTGTAAATTTGTTCTCTGTTTGCTTTGCTAAAAGAAGCTTAGGATGGATCTCTAGTGTTTTAATTTTACACAAGGTATTTGCCAATCATTAAGCTGGTTGTTTCTGTGAAAGCAATGAATCACATCAAAGCTGTGTTGGGGAATAAAACTTCTTAGGTCCTGTACCCAAGACCAGAACGAGATTCCTGGCGCTGGGGCATGTTCCTCCCTATCACAAGCATTTTAACACCACATCAGGTGTTATCCAACCCCCGCAGAAGCTGGCAGCAAAGAGACAGCTCGAGAGGACAACCACAGTGTCATGGCAATATGGATGCTATTCTGGAGCCGTGCAGAAGACAGAAACTGTGAAAGTTCATCACATTTGGTACGTGCTGTGAGGACTAGGATCTGCAAGGAGAGGCAAAGGCAGCAAGGGAAGCTGAGAAACTCCATAGACTCTTCCAAAATGATCAGAAATAATCTCTTCATTCTGTTAAAAAAATCTTTAGAACTGCAGGATTTAACTTCAGCATTTGGGAAGCAGGTGGATCTGTCTTCAAGTTGCAGGATAGATGATACCAACCTTGATATGAGAGTTCTAACGCAAGCTGCTAGAGAGGAGGGTTATGTCTACACTCTGCTCCTGCACAGACACATAGTGCGTAGTGACAGAAAGTATCTGCCTGTGATAAATAACACCTCTATGTAGAGCCTCTTTTCAGCTGCAGATGAAAATATTACACAGTGCCATTTCGAGTCCAATCTTGCTGAATTCAGCCATAACATTTTTCAAAGATCTGCATTGCACATTGCAGTGAACTGAAAGAGATGCTGCCAGTTTGCTGACAAAAGGTCTGATGTAACCGGATTAGCAGATTTAAAACTGAGGAGTACTATAATCCTATAAACTCGCAAGTGGAAATCCTGTGGTTTTCCCATCTAGGGCCACATAGTAGCTTGCTGAATCAATGCTTAAATTTCAGCTCCTAAAATTCAAAGAAACAGACCATATACCACCACATGTTAAAAGTGAGTCATTTTTGTTGTTAAGTCATTGCATATTTGTACCTTGAATGCATTATGCCCTAGCTGCAGAGACTTTGGAGCACAGCACAGCCAAACAGATGAGGATCAAGCTCCAAACACCTTGGATAGAGGGTTTTCTTTGTTGTTGTTGTTGTTGTTGTTCCATAGCAGTAAGCAGAAAGTAAAGAAAGCCCTGTTCTGTGCAGTATTTCCCTCCAGTTCTTACTCCTGCAGCTACCTGCCCCACGCTACACTTGGGTCACAGCCATCCTGCCGCACACAGCTCAGGACACATTCCTGCACATGCAGTGACCTGCTCCCACACTCCCCCTGCTCCCCAGCTGCTCCTTTGGCTTAAATGTGGGAATGGCTTTCTCATTTCTCCATCCTACACTATTACTTAGGCTCAACTCCAATTTCAGCATAACAGTAACTTCTTGAATTGTTCATTCTTAAAAGTTACCTACAGGAAACAAGTCTGAAAAATTTGCCTATTTTAAAGACTACTAATCTGTTCTAGAATAACTTCCAAGGACTCTGAAACATGAATATAGCAAATTTACGAAAGTGCACTTATCTGCCCTCTCAGCCTCAACGGAGCTGGGAGGAGGGAACCTCTGCCTACATTTCAGCTGCCTTGGTGCGTCTTAAAACCACCTCCAACAGCAGCTTAAAGGAAGATAGCAGGCTGTGCACTGGGGAAGCGGGATACAGCCGTATCTTGGCTCACGGATGGCACTGCAGAGTGCATGCTATCTCATGGTGCAGCCACTGTTATTCAGACTGCTCTAACTGGATTTAATCATTTGCCCAAGTGGAAGAGTCAAACTTGCCTCCAGAAATGTCCGTAATACACCACTCAGAGCATAAAATAACTTCTATAGTCAGAAAAAATTAGGAAAGGACAAACCTGCAACAGTCCAACAGGGGATGCACAAGGTGAAGTTGGTGCAACTGGGTTACAAAATTTTCTGTGTCTCTAGTAAACTAAGCGGTGGCCTAACAATTACATAAG